CAGCAGCCCTAGCTCATCTTCATGTCATCATGACCAAGCTTCCAACCAGAAATGATAGCTCATACCTAGCTCACCATGACCAAGCATCCAACCAGCACATGCTGAGGTCAGCATGACCAGCAACTTCAAGGGCTTACAACTTGGGCTTCTCTTAATCAAATTAGGACTTTAAGCACTCTAAATTGAAGTTCAGAATGTCTTCTTTCCAGCCATATGTTATTTGGGCCAATCCAAGGTCGGAGTAAGAAGTTAAGGCCAAAACAAATTGCTAACTCATTTTCCGCGCTGATAAGATCCATCCTGAGCATGGTTCTGTGTTTGCTAGGTGACGGACTCCGGATTTATCCAATGGGGCTGAATTTTGGATATGTTATAGTACACACCAATTGGAGCAACGTTCATGAAGAATGTGGCCTCATCCGAGCTATGTAGGTTGCTGAAACAAAGCTTGCAATATGACCTACGGAACTGGACTGGCAGGGGGCTGTAGCCATAATGAATTTGTCTTTAAGCTCTTCATCAATTCATCCAAATTAGGCCTTAACATGCTTGAATTGCATGAATTATGTTCTTCAAAGCCATCATTGTTACCTAAAGCTCAATTAACTGAAAGATAAACACAAAAAGGATTAAAAGCACAAGTTTAACTCAAAAACATAACCAAATCATAAGCTAGAAGGGTAAGAAATAATATACAATTATGAACCGATCAATAACGCCCCACGAGTTTGGGGACGCCTGAATCATGTGATGCGAGGATATGCGTTCTTAGGCTGACTATATGTCCCCCCGAGTTCTGCGAGGATATGTGTTCTCGGGCTGACCACATGTCCCCCGAGTTCTGCGAGGTTGTAATGTACGTGGTGTTTGGAATTGACTAAATATTATTGGAATTGATGGAATATTATTGGAATTGGCGGAATAATATTTGGAATTGACGGAATATTATTGGAATTGACATAATATTATTGGAATTGATGGAATATTATTGGAATTGACGGTATATTAGTGGATTTGACTTATTATGAATGGGGGTACACCTAGGTGGAGAGTAATTGATTTTGAGATCTTTATACTTTGTTAACGAGTGAATTTGTACATAATGGATTAATACATAATCACACACATAACACACGTGTTTTGAGTGGTTCACCCATAATGGGGCTACATCCACTATAGTTTATAGCTTTGTATTTGTATTTGAATATGGAGATTACATTATACATGGGAGAGATATGGGGAGAGAGGCTTGAGAGCTCTAGTATAAGAGAAATAGAGAGTTTTGGACAGCTCTTGGAGAAGTGGCAGTTGCCCTCCTCTACTTGGAGGTGGTGAGCTCCCTTTTGTAGTCCAAGTAGTGGTAGAGAATGCATGGCTCTCCTTGATTTGGGGATTCCACATGGTCTCCCCTTGATTTGGAGGACTTGGGCATTAAGAAGGCATGTGAGGGGGCATGGCTAGTTACTCCTTGTTTGGTGGGATGTGAGGTATAACAAGCAATACCTTAATTGCTGGGGACTTTCAAGTAAGACCAGTGTCTGACCGAGCCGAGCACATATTTGTTGGAGGTGGTGAGGTCGAGCCGAGCATATATTTGTTGTGGTGATGAGGCCGAGCCGAGCACATATCATGGCTAGCTACTCCTTGTTTGGTGGGATGTGAGGTATAACAAGCAATCCCTTAATTGGTGGGATTTGCTTAAGGGGGGAGGTGAGGTCAACACATATGGTGTCAACAGAAGCCCCCAGCTGAGCCGAGCACACATATGAAGATAATAAAGCCAAGCCGAACACATATGTGAAGATAATAAGGTTGAGCCAAACACACATATATATAGATAATAAGGCCGAGCCGAACACATATATATAAGGCCGAGCCGAGCACATATCATGGCTAGCTACTCCTTGTTTGGTGGGATGTGAGGTATAACAAGCAATCCCTTCATTGGTGGGATTTGCTTAAAAGGGAAGGTGAGGTCAACACATATGGTGTCAACAAACTTAAATTGATGATTTTATCTTGGTACTTTTGGTGAAAGCTTTAATACATGTTTTTCGATTTATGAGACAAAGATTGAGAGTTTTCTAAGTTTTAAAGATTTTATACAATTCACCACTATTTTCTTAAGTGACGAGTTTGTTTTTACATGTGAAAGATGGAAGCATGTGTTATTTAAACTGTTGATATTGACATTAAGGTTTCACGTGGCCAATGTTATTTTAATAGTTTTCTTGTTTTCCTACTTATCTGTAATGAACTTTGTTTTCTTGTTGAAAGAACTACGTGTGGCTCGATCCCTTGGTAAGGGTATGTAGGCAACCTAAAGTTACTATGTGCAGCCACAAGATCAAGTGCTGAAAATTTGTTCAATTAGGTCATATTGGAACCTGATAAATATTCACGTTGTTCTAAGAGTTGAGATCAGTTTCAGATGGCAGAATAATTTATTTGGTATAAAGACGCCTGAGGCTATTAAAGTTATTTGTCTGATGCATGCTGAATGACTGGGATTTGGTTTTCAGTATTAACTGTATTTTTACAGGTGGAAAGTTATTGGGAAATGTCCATTTTACAGGGGTGACTCTGCCGATTTTTCGGCAAAAGTCAAACCTTAAAAGAATTTTTGAGTTTAAATTAGAAGGGCAATTTGGTCAAGTGTGCCCAGCACCTGCTAGGTGTTGGACACACACAGAGTTCGACATAGATTCCAAAGTGGAATTTGGGTCGGGTCCTGTCATTTTGTGCTTGCCATTAGTTCATGCTATATTATCATATTTCAGGTTATATGGGAAGGTTACAAGTCTAAAAAGGGAACACCACCCATTTTCAGATGTTGCATTCTACTCAAGGATGCACAAGTGTTGTGATGTTGTTGAGCCCTACCATTCGAAGAGGGTTCTTAGACAATTTGGTTGGGTGCAGAGGATTCCTCTAAGAATAAGTGCCCCTAACAGAATTGGTCGTGGTGCCAATTTGTATATTGATAATTTAGGGGGAATGTGGGGGAATCAGGAGAACCATATGTTGGGAGAGGTGAACCGTAGTGTACCAGTGAGTAGTCCATCATATATTGTGCATGGGTACTTTGAGTGGTACCTCCACATAGGATATCCGTTTGTCCATAATCCCAATTTTAGAGGTGCATTTGACACATTTTACAATGCAGAGTTCATATTACCAGGAAAACTATGATTTTGTCATTATTTTCACTTCTTCAATTTTGTCATTTTTACTAAGACATTGATTTCATATTCATTACAGGAGAGTGATGAGCGTATGTTGACCCTTACTAGACCGATTGTGGCTTTAGGGCAAGCCAATGCATTGCATACACAACCTGCCCATGTTTATCAAGCAGTTGAGACCTGCAACGTGTATTAGAGGGTACAAACATACGGTCTACCATGACATATCGGCGTCGTAAGGGATAATTTCATTTGTATTAAGAACTTATGGCAGCAATTATTAGATTAGAACTAGTACTTTGGTTGTGTTAAGAAGTTTTTGTATGTTTGAATTAGAACTCATGGTATTTGGTTGTATTAGAAATGTCAGCATGTATATTAAGTGCTAATTGAACATTTCAGTAACTATCTACCGAATTTTGAATTGTTTGTCGGTGTTATTCAACCAAATCATAATGATTCATTCAATGTTTATGTGGTACATGTTTAATAAACGTACTAAGAATTGAAACCATACACTTTCATTATGTCATAAATTTATAATATCTTCAATATCAAGGGCCACCATATCCATAGTGGGTACATTTTCTTCAGTATCAAGGGACAACATATCCATGGTGGGTACATTTTCTTCAATATCAAAGGCCATTGTATCCTTAGTAGCTACATTCTCCATTCCTGCAAGTTATTTAAATTGAACCATGGTACCTCGAGTACATATGTGTTACATTGCATGTGTCACTTTGTTCATGACACGTCCCAGAAACCAGTAGCATAGGATGACCTGGAGATAAATGAACCTACAAAACAAGAAATCATTAATTAAAGAAGCATAAAAAAAATTATAAAATAATAATTATAAATTCATACCAGGATATAATGATCATCATCAACAAAACCAATGCCAATCTCACGTAGGTTGGTATCGCTTGATTTAACTGAGTAAGGAAGACATGTAAGGCATTGATGCATGCTTAGAAGGATTAAAACCACATTATAACATATAGAAATAATATACCTCATATCAAGCATGCTCATCCAACTAAAGAACGTATTTCGGTGGGCTACCACCAAATAATAGGTGCAAATTTGGTTCTATACAACCAAACTCCTTTCAATTTTATGAAAGAATTCCACCGAATATTAGGTTATTTTTCAATCACATACTACCGAACTCGTTTTGATGTTTCGGTGAAACACCACCAATTTTTTTTTTTATCGCATTCGATACTGGTCTACCGAACATAAACAATGACCAACATGAAAGTAACAATTGAAAAATGTGAACAAAATTAACTCATAATCTGACTAGGGTTGCAGGAGCGTATATTGTTATGTTGAGTCTAGTGATAAGATACATTTAATTTTTAAATGTTATTTGTCTTTAACGGCAATTATATGTAAGAGATAGATTATTTATATGTAAAATTAGTGTTGGGTTAAAAAAAGGGAAATTGGCGGCTTTGCCCCTGGCGCAGCTAATTTATTCAATATTATCCTCATTTTGAAATCTAATCACAAATATCCCCTATAAAAACTCTCTATTGACAACTTATTGCCCATCCTTCACTTAGGTTTTTTTTGTTCTCAGTTGTTGCTCTTCTTCTTCCTCTTCTATCTAGTCTCTTCTTCATCCTCTTCTTCCTTCTGCCAAACCTCACAGGAATCCACCTCCACCATAAAATCTCGCTTAACTCAATCTCCTCTTAGTTATATCTTCAAACTAGGAGCTAATTTGAACCTCAAGGTTGAACCCCAAATTTGGAACTGAACCCTAGCCAAGGTGTGACTTGCCACCTCCGTTGTCGCCCTCCATAACAGAGCCACAATCGTGACTCTCGACCTCCGTCGTCGACTTCCACCACGAAGCCACGACACCTTCATCTTCGATCTTCACTGTGGTGAGTTCTAATATTGGTTTTGTTTTGTTTTGTTTTTTTGGGTTCTTATTGATTGAGATTATTGGGTGATTACTTTTACTATTTTGAATGAGACATTAATGGGTTTTTGTTGTGGTTTGTTTGCTGTTTCTGTGATTGAATGAAATTTACCAACTATTTCTTGTGGTTGTCAAGCTCTTGGACTTGGATACATTGTTTTGTACTTTAGATTTGTCTCTGAAATCATGCATATACTGTTTTGTGATTGAGATTTGGACATGCAGACCTCCTTGAAAGTGGTGTATTCACTCTTTTGTGATTGTGATTTGTCTGTGAAATCGCTTAGGTGATATATCAAATTAGGACTTCTGGCTTTTCTGAGCAACCTGTAAGAATACATATAAAACTCATAGATGCCCTATGAAATAACAGTAATGTGGGTTTTAACTGTAAGAAACCAACATCATAATTTGAAACCAGTAGCACCACCAACAAATGCAAGATTCTCATCCTTTACTTCTTTTGAAAGTGATTGGAGAGTTTGTAAGTTTTATGAGAATGCCAATATTTTAACATACGTTTGATAGTGTAAAGTTGGCATATGTTGGATCTTTGTTTTCTCTATTTTTTTCATAATTCAATCCTAGATCTGTTTTTGGTGCAGTCTATACAATCCTCAAGGTTGGTATCATGCCAAGGTTGTGTTGGTGCCGTGAAAAGGGTTCTTGGAAAACTTGAAGGTTTGTTGACAACTCTTTGCATTTATCTAGTTCCATTGTCTTGCTCTTCTTCTTCTCTGAGACTGTGCTTCTTTAATTGTTTGAACAATGCCAAATGCACTATTGATGATTTCGTGATTTCGTGATTTGTATTTTTATTCGCCTGCGAGGACACACATTCACTTCACCCATGTTTATAATTACTTTTATATTGCAATTGAGTAGTATGAAATTGTGTGCATGAATGTGAACTTTAATTTTGCAATGGTACTGTCTTGTGAAAGCTTGCCATATGAAGAATTGGGTCATTTAGAAAAGCCAACAATCTATATGAATTTTGATATTGGTTTCTATTTTGAAATTGGTTTCAATTGTGATTGAATGTTATGTTTTTGTTTCCATTGTGATTGAATGATTTACTTCTAATATGCATTTTTTATCCATTTTATACAGATGGAAGATTGTCTTGTTTCAAGTGGCGGCGTTCTTTTGGGGAGGAAAAATTGCTAACTTTCAGCTTAAATTCAGGTCGAAGAGGACATGTCCTAGAATTTTAATGATAGATATAAATTGTGTTAAAATTCCCGACTAAGAGGTGATGTAAATTTTTTGTTTTTTGCCACTTTCTTATGTATATCTTAAGATGTAATGAGGTAACATTGCTTCCATAGTAGGGAAATTGGGAAATTATGGGTGTAAGAATGTGATTTCATCAAGGACGTCACATCCTTTTTTGAGAAAACACGTTATATACATTCAGTGTATATTACGTGTATATTGCTTGTATATTGTCTATATATTGCTTGTTTATTGTTTGTGTATAACCATTTATTGCCTTTTATTGTCATTGTATTGTATGTTTATTGCCAATTTATAGCTTGTGT